AGAGAGGCTCCCAGCGGCCTGCAAAATTCCAGAGGAGGCAGCAGACGCCAGGCCAGGCCGCTCCCGGTAGCCTGCCTGGAACCTCGGCCCTAAATCTTTAAAGGGCCCAAGCGAAAAGAGAAAGGGAACGCGCCAGAGCACACACACCGCCTTGTAAATCACCTTGGGGGAAACGAACACTCCAGCAAACAAGCTCGAGGAATAAAGCAAACAGGGAATAAATTCCTGGGTGCTCATAAACCCACCCATGCCGCCCCACCTTCCCTGCCTCTCCCACCGCGCCGGGCCCCGTGTCAACCCAGGAGGAGGAGAAAGCGGGGAGGGGGGTGTCGGTGTGTGTGCTAGGACCGGCGGGTGGTGGTCAACGCTCGCCACCCAAGATGTTATTCAGTGGTAACAATCCCCATTATCTGTCCCCACTTTGGGCTAATCAGACAGAATCGCTAATGCTGAGGGCTGCTTCCTGCAGCCTCTGGGAGGTATAACAGGGCACCCAGGGGAGGGGGACTGGGCGGGGCAGCAGGCGGAGGTGTCACCTTCCGGGCTTGAGGGGGCTTTGGCCCAGTACTCATTCAGGTACTTAATACCCCGAGACCAGTACCTCTGCTTTCAAAGAGGCTCGGGTGGGGAAAGCTGCTTATATAAACAGAGATTCGGCTGTAAACGCACAAACATCCAGGAGGCCAGCACATGGCGAGCGCCTCCTACGCCCACCCGTAGGAGCGGCTTCCCCGGCCGCCCCTGGGTTGCTAGCTTGCCCTGCCCCCGCCTATTTGTAGGCTATGGCCACCACTGGACGCGTCAGCTTCACCGTGCGCAGCCTCCTGGATTTACCAGAGCAGGACACGCAGCACCCGCGGAGGCGGGAGCCGGAGCCGCGCTCGTCCCTGCGCCTTGGCCCGTGTGCGGTCTGGCTGGAACCAGAGCGCGGCCACTACCCCTGTGAGTGCCCGGAGGGTGGCGGCAGGGGTGGAGGAAGGGATTGTGAGCCAAGAGCCTGGCCCATGGCAGACTAGGAAGCCATTCCAGCCTAGGGTCTAGATTTCCTCCCTTCGGAAGCGGGAGGTTCCGTCCCGCACAAGCCCCTATGCCCTGGGTCCCAGTTAACACAGCCTGAGAGCAGATCCAGCGCCGGCACTACTACTACTCCTCACTGCCATCGTGTCGATCCCGACTCATAGCGAACCCCATTGGGTTTCCGAGGCGGTAAACCTTTACGGAAGTAGATTGCCCCATATTCCTTCCTCAGAGCGGCTGGTGGCTTTGAACCGCCAACCTTCTGGTTAGCAAATGCCTGAGGCACTGCGCCACCAGAGTTCCTTAGCGTCCGCAATAGGGCCTGCTATTTGGGTTTCTGCTTCTGGGGATTCTTACCCATCGGAATATTTAAATATTTAAAATTCGGTCCCGTTCTCCCAGCCTCGGTCGGGGATGGCAGTATTGACCGGCACAGTGCCCCTGGATTCAGGGCTTTGCAAATCTAAGCAAACTGTAGTGCAGTCGGCCTGGAAGTGGCCCGTGTTGGTGACCCAGTTTGTGGTAAATTCGTCTGCCACGGTAGCACGTAGTGGGGATATTGTAAGAGGGCCCCGGGGCGAGTTTCTCTCGCGGGCGATCTCAGACCTGAGAATGGTTGTGATAGGAATGGGGTCACTGAGTTCGGAGAGGTGGGCGTCCAGATGTGGGCATAATGAAAGAAGGAAATGGCCTCTCCTCAACAGCAGTGTACAGGTGGGGGTACCCCTGGCTCTGTGGCTCCCGCGCTGGTGCCAGGGGTGTAGCAGGCCGGTTGAGGACAGTCTGCGCCTCACCAGACCCCGTCTTCTTTGCCGTCTTCCTAGCTTCGGACGAGAGCATCTCGGAGACCAACCCGCCCGATTCGTCACAGGGGCCGTCCCCACGCCCTGCATCGCCGGGCTCAGACGCTGAGAAGAGGAAGAAGCGGCGGGTGTTGTTCTCCAAGGAGCAGACGCTGGAGCTGGAGCGGCGCTTCCGGCAGCAGCGCTACTTGTCGGCGCCAGAGCGGGAGCAGCTGGCGCGCCTGCTGCGTCTCACGCCCACGCAGGTCAAGATCTGGTTCCAGAACCATCGTTACAAGCTGAAGCGCTCGCGCACTTCAGGAGCGGTGGGGTCTCCTGACCTCGCCGCCGCTGCGGAGAGGCGCTCCGCGCCGGGTCTGCTGCGCCGCGTGGTGGTGCCCGTTCTGGTGCGCGACGGGCAGCCGTGCGGCGGCAGTGGGGGCGGCGAGGCGGGCCCAGCCGCAGCCCAGGACAAGTGCGGCGTACCCCAGGCCGCCGCCGCCTGCCCTCTGCCGGGTTACGCCGCCTTCAGCCCGGCCTCAGCTCTCGGCCTCTTCCCCGCCTACCAGCACTTAGCGCCCACCGCCCTAGTCTCCTGGAACTGGTGAGGCCACCCCGGGCGCGAAGACCTGGGCTACCTAGGACCTTGGAGCGCTTTGTGGCTGGAGCGGGGCTGGAGCTGGAGATCTGGAGTGTCCCAGGCCGCCTTCCTGAGGGCCCCCCTCCTCCGGTGCAGGCCCCGCAGACGCCCCCACCCCCACCCCGGGGACTGCCCTCTCCGGTTGTGGAGAGGGCGCACGCAGAAAACTTTCGCCAAGAGCCCTCCTTTCCCCTTCCCTGGACCACCAACCCCAGAGTTAGGTTTCATTGCTTGAACCTTATTCGCATATTTTTAAAATAGCGATTTGTATGGAAGGCAACGTATTTTAAAAGAAATAGAATACTTTTCCTCTTTGTGGTGAGAGAATAAAACATACGGGGTTGGGTCCCCCTGTGCGCCCGTCGAAACGTGAAGTGAAAGTCGGGATCCCAGGACCGGAGTTCAGGGCTCCCAGCCACTCTTGGCTGGCTAAGTTAGGCTCTACCCCTAGTTGGGTCGATGGGCAGACTGCAGTTCCAACAGGGCTTTAAGGAGATGGAGGATGACAGAAAAAGAAAAAAAGGAGAGGCGGGAGGAAGTAGAGGCAACCCTCGGTCCAGATCAGCGGGAGATGGCTCCGGTCCTCAGTGATGCCCTTGGCACTTTCAAACATCAAAAGTCAACCCCGTAGGCCAAGACTGGGAATGAACTATTATTCCAGAATGTTATTTTTTTGAGCTGTGTTCTTAGGGTTGGGCGCCAAGTACACTGCACCTGGAACAGCCCAGGCCTGGCTGCAAGCCGCCAATACAGAGTGTGCAAGAGCCAAGGACTGGAGATACGGAGAGCACACGGAAAACTAGTAACTCCCAGTTACGCGAGTACCTCACTTAGCAGCTGTGATTTTCTATCTCTTCTGGGAGCAGCACCTGGCCGGGGTGGGTCAGGTGGCAGGGTGGTGAAGAAATCAAAGGGTGACAGGGAACAACTGGGGCAGGGTACAGCCTCAAGGCGGCACCGGGTAAACTCTGCCGCCAGCTGAGGGATGACCGCCTGGGCGCGCGCCTGTGGGAGCTCTGGTGGCCGGACTTTGGGGTGGGATCTCCGGTCGGCCTCTTTTACCCATGCACCAAACGCTCATCAGTCTCTGGGCTCCCCTTGGGGTTGGAGTTGCTTCTCTCTTTGGTATCCAGAGGCACAGGGCTTTTATGCAATTGCAGCCTTTTTCGGAGAGCAGATGGAGACCTCGTTCCCCTGCGCCGGCTGCGGAAGACGTGGTCGGGAGAGCAGTTTCGAGCCGTCAAGTAGTGGAAATGTAGCGAGGCCCGGATGAAATCTGTGAGAAGTAGGCATTGGGCCTGTTTGGGGCCCTAGCTTTAGTATCTGAGGAGGAGAGGAGAAGGAAGGGTGCCCTCTAAGTATTAACACCTGGA